AATTATAATTAGAGAAGCAATTATCCCCTTGTTAAAGGTGAAACAAATCACAGGTTTTAGAGAAAAATTCAGCTTTGCTCCTTCTGCCATGCCAACAAATCTTGTATCCATTGATGTTTTGATTCCAGTACTCTCCAAAAGAGATAATCTGGTAAAGCATCTCTGAATATATTTCTGGCTCTCCATGTGACAGTAACATTTTCTAGGCATAAAATAAAATGAGCAAAGAGGGATTAATTTCATAGAGTGCTGCTATTATGTCAGTGGTATAAGCCAGCACCAGTTCCATGGGTGTATTAATTTTCTTGCTTCTTCAGGGAGATGGAGGAAAGGTTTATCTGTTGAAAGAAATGCAAACGCCTCACCAGAAATGGAAGGAAAGAAGGATATTTTTGGCTTGATCCTAACAACAGTGTTATTGAACACTGAGCTATATCATTTTAGAGTATTCCTCAGATTTGTTTTTTCTTTCTTTCACCAAGTTTACTTGAAATTTTTAATATTATTGTTATTAACACCTCCCAGTTAGTTCTGGAACTCATGTGTCTCCCAGTGGCCTTGGTTCCTAATCCTAATAGTTTGGAACCCTGCCCTTGGGGTTCAGAATGATGAAGTCTTTCATACCACACTGAGATCTCTCAATAGGATTGCATCTTCAGGAAGGAGAAACATCCTTTTTCTAGAGTGTTCCATCTCCTGAGGTGCTGCCTCTGTGTCACACCCATCAGGGCCTCTTTCTGTCATTTAGTTAAATATACTTAGAGAATCTACTAAGTGACTTATAACCTGCTGGCATTAGAGATAAAACATGAACAAAAAACTTTTTGCTCCTTATTTCATCACAAGCTTGTCAGGCAGGAAGAAGAGTAAACAGATAAATTTCAACACAAGCAGTAGGCAGAGCTATATAAAATTGTGGCATATGGGGGCTGCCGTTTAGCCAGGCACACTGGTTCATCTATCCCAGGTATTCAGTGTGAAAACTGTTCTGTATCTGTTGCTCAGTAACTGAGTGCTCCTGACCCCCAGGCCCTGCCTGGCTCCCTGGGATTCCTGGATATCCTGTGACCCCATGGCTAAAAGATTCATATCTGATATAGCACTAGGACCCCAAGAGTCTTCTCTTGTGCTAAGGAAGCCATGCAGTTATTAAATATCTGGAATAAACTCCCTAGATATGAAGAAAGGACTTTAGAGAGAACAGAGGAAGGAACGGCCAAGTCTAGAGTTCTGAAACTCTTGTGCTTCATCCGTAGAGTCCCCTGTTTTCATATTGGAAAGGGCTTAGTCAAAAGAAGTATAAGGAATCCTTGGTGGGCTTCTTCCACCTCTGAGACTTTCTTTGTCACTCTCTTTCCTTGGGCTCTGAAAGGAGATCTACCAAGAGTAGTCTCAGCCTAAATTTCCTCTTTTGGAGAAAATACAAGGGATAGACCAGTGTCTTGACACCATAAGGACTGAATGAACAATAGTAAATTTAAAGACCAGGAGAAGGGGTTGGGCATGGTGGCTCACACCTGTAATTCCAGCTTTTTGAGAGGCTTAGGTGAGCAGATCACCTGAGGCGTGGACTTTGAGATCAACCTGGCCATCATAGTGAAACCCTGTCTCTACTAAAAATACAAAAACTAGCAGTGTGTGGTAGCGCACACCTGTAATTCCAGCTACTCAGGAGGCTGAGGGATGAGAATTGCTTGAACCCACAGGGGCAGAGGTTGAAGTGAGCCATGATCATGCCACTGCACTCCAGCCTGGGCAACAGAGCAAGACTCCATCTCAAACAAAACAAAACAAAACAAAAGATCAGGGTAAGTGCAGCAGCAGATCACAACTTGCTATAGATAGTTTCATTAACCAATTATTTAGTAGTGTTGTTGAAAGACTGTTTCTGATTTTAAAGCTCACAATGTTGTCTTTATTTGTAGCATGTGTGGACTCCAACCCAAGCAGCGGACTAGAGAATACAGGAGAGTATCTTCGTGATTCTTAGAACAGAAGCTTCCCCTCTGCATACTCCACAGTGCCAAGAAGAGGGACAAGGTAGTAAGAATTTTGAATTCAAGAGGTTGAGTTCGGTCTTGTGTGAATTAAAAAATTACAATAATAATACTAACAGTGGCCAATGTTTCTTGAGTGCTTTAGACATGTTCTAGGTGGTTTGCATGTACTGTCTCATTTAAACCTCATACCCACATTCTGCATAGACACTAATCTATTATTATCTCCCCTTTTTGATTACAGAAAATTTGGTTTGTAAATACCTTGACCAAAGTAAAAATTGGTGATGTTTGTGTGTAAACCTGGCATTCTGTAAGAACATTAGAAAACCTTCTATTGTGGAGATTATAGGATGCCAAAATAGGGGAGAAGTGAAATGTTATTACCTTAGAAATTCCTATGCCATTATTTGTAGGCAACGTGGTATATCAAAACTAAGACTTGAGTTCTTGAAAAACTTATTGATTTAGAGAGAAAAGGAATTACTGCCTCCTGACAGTCTGCAATGAATGTACTTGACTACTTCCTCAATGGAACTAGACATATGCTTATAAAACAAAGATCAATTGAAACAATCAGCCATATGTTCATTGAACATATTCTGTCTGACTCTTCTTGGAATCATTTGCCTTGGAGACAAAAGGAGCACAAATGCAGGCTGGCATCATCTCCCAAAGACTGATCCTAATTATTACAAAACACATGAGTTTTACCTGCTGGTTTTCCTTTCAGATCAATATTTCACTTTATCCTATCTTTATGCATGAAGATTCTTTAAACAAATAAATGAAATATTAAATAATGAGTGCATTTATATTAAAATGAAAATGACTATATAATCCTTTAACTCACTAAGTTACCTTTCAACCATTTCTTTTTTAATTTATGTGCTCCTCTTGAGCAAATGGCAGTCGTAATATGTCATGTTAAGGTATTCATTAGGCTTTCTGATCTTGGTGATTTTAATAGTGTTGAAAAGAGTCTACACAGGAATTTATTAGCCTGCTCTTGAGCATGTGTGTTTGATCTCTCTTCTGACTTAAGAAAATGAAAAATAAAAGTGCATTAAATATAGTTCTTTGAATGTCAAATGGGTACATGATTTTTGAGCTTGCCAAGTTTTAATTGGTCTCTTCCCTAGTGATGATACAAATAGAATTCACAGCCAGTTAGTTTGCAGTCATGAATCTTTACTCCTTGACAAACTGAACTACTTTGTTGAGGAGACTGAAAAAAATAAAGAAATTATTAAGGTCTCTTCACCTAAAGTCTTTGCAAGGATCAGTTACCTTTTAGAAGCCCGGAGCAAAAATGATGCTAGGGATACCCATGTCGTTCATGATTTGTTTTGGTCTTTATTAAGGTGGTTTAACGGAGGAGGTGTGCATTAAAATTTTAGAAATATTGTTAAGAAGACAGATGCACTACTGTAATTATCAGAATGAAATACTGAATAGAAAAGAGTTTCCATCTTCTTAGTCATATTAAATCATACTGTGTCTTAGTGCTGGAAGATAAGGTTTTGATGCCATTGAATGAAATAGCTACTATCATGCAAAGTCTGATACAATTGGCATGAGACGCCAATTAGTGGCAAAAAATAGCTCTCTTTCAAAGTAAAAAAAGGAATTTCATTAAAATTTCCTTTGAGTTCTTTGCGTTGACTCATAGAGATATAAATGGCCATGATAGAAAGATGGAATTACTTCATAAGGACTCTACCTAAATTTTCAATTACTTAATTTTTATTATTAATAAAAGAACAATGAGATGTTTGTGTTTGTTGTCAGGGGACCAGCTAACCCCATCATTACTTCCTGAAAAATGGAAAAACTATGAGAAATAAAATAGTAAGTATATTACAAGTTATTAATTGCTTTTGGCCAATGTTGAAAGTCTCAATAGTAATATGTTTTCACTTTCATACACAGGCATAACTTCAGGGCTTAATTTTTTAAATTCATATCCATCGGACCCATATATAAGTCCAAATTGCAACCACTGAAATATGCCTCTTTCAACATGTGCAGTAAAGAGTAAAACTTTCATATTACTCAACATAGGTTGGAGGCCAGTGAAGACCACCACCAAACTGGCAACTATGCCACTTGTCAAATCAATGTGAGCTTGGGCTTGTAGGGCAGGAATCAGTCAGGACAATAGTGTCAGATGCATATAAGGATGTCTGCTAATAATCATGTAAAGGATAACTTTTTTTAGAGTTTAGGATTTATTTGTTAACAGATGAAAGAGTATTAGTTTTCCTCAATAGTGTGGTCTGAGATGATGGTGAGTGCTTGCAATCTCTTCTGAGTCACAGAGTCCTCTTCCCCAAAGAGAGATATTTTCAAAGGGCATGGTATTATGTGGTGCTAATGAAAAGTCATGGTATGCATCTGACTTGTAATACTTCATTAGCAACCAATAGGCTTTGTTCTAGCAGAAACCCAAAAATGAAAAATAAAGGACTTGATGGAAATGTTATAGGATGAAACTAATTGACACTTGTTACTCCTAAAACATGTTATTATGCAAGGTGTGTGGGCATGGCTTTCAGGTATGTCTATAACTACATCACGGAATGGAAAATTCACGTGTAAAGTGCACAGACTCACAGACACAGAAAAACACACACTTTTCTTACACTCACATTTTTCACATATCAGCAAGAACAATAATAAAATCCATGGCACTTTGTTAACTGATACCGTCTCTCTTTAGTATAAATGCCAGATAAAATAAAGCAGTATTTCTGATTTCTTGAAAGAGAATGACAAAATTAAACCAAGCTGCCTGTGGCTTTGTCCAATGGGGCATTCTAATTGACTCCCAAGTCATTAATCAGTTCCCAATCAATCTATTTTGCCAGCAGCAGGCAGTTAGGACTCCATTACCAACCATTCATCATGCCATACCCTAATTCACTGCACCATTAGCCATGGATTAGGCCCCTGTTAGAATAACTTAGTGCCAATTGCTAAATGCAAAGAATTGTTATTCACCTCAGCCACTGGGATCCCTTCAGGTGGTCGACACTGGAGTAAGACTTCTTGTTCCAAGGATACTTCTTTTCCTAGGGGTTCCTGCTCAAATGTCTTCCGTAGATCTGGAAAGCACAAGTGACAAAATATATGTAAAAACTAAATAACATTTATTTATTTACAGAAAGCACAAAAAAATTTTCTGGCTTAGTATTTTATCTGTGCTTTTTTTTTTTTGACACAGGGTCTCACTCCATGTCCCAGGCTGGAGTGCAGTCGTATGATCATAGCTCACTGTGGTTTCAAACTCCGGGGCTTAAGTGATCCTCCCACCTCAACCTTCTGAGTGTTTGGTACCACAGGTGCATGCTACCATGCTTGGCTATTTTTATTTATTTATTATTTTTTAAAATTTTATTTATTTATTTATTTGTAGAGATAGAGTCTCACTATATTTCACAGGCTGGTCTCAACCTTCTGACTTCAAGTGATCTTCCTGCCTCAGCCTCCCAAAATGCTGGTTCTGTAGGTGTGAGCCACGGTGCCTGGCCTTGCATTTTTGTTTAACCACATGTTGTTAGTACTTTACTATAATCTGGTGACTATATTTTGTGGTATAAATTGTGAAATTCAGAAGCTATAAACTGTTCCTACCTTAAACATCCGTCCTTGGAAGTCCTCATTTGAACAATTAATGAAGTGCATTACTTGCTTTTTGTTAGTATTTCTTGATCATCAATTATGATGATCACAGTTTTAAATCAAAAGAACCTCAATCTCATGATTCTTATACCTACAGAGTCCCTTCGGTACATATATATTTTCCTCTTTTCTCACAATGGATACTACTGAAACTCCAGTAACTCTGGAATCTTTTGATCAATACTCTAAGTGTGTTTCTGTTTCAAAGTGGAAAGCAGAATGCTGGAATCTGTTAGGAAGAAACAGAACTTCTTCAGGTGTCTCAAGTACAAGGCAGATAAAAGAGTAGTGAGAAAAGTTCCAAGATATCGCTACATTTAATCATGTGGTCATTCTTCAATTAGAAGACTAGTCATTTCTGCTCAAATATCCCAGGCACCTAATTATGTATTTATGCAGCTATAGTTGATACCAGAACATGCAGCTGAGTTTTACAAACTGTTGTTAGATGGACACAAAAGTGTTGGAAACCAGTTTGTCATTTTAAACACATCAGAAGCACATGCTTCAGGAAATAGGTTTAACCAAATAATCACTGAATTTCATATAATTATTTTATTTTAGTGGTTTGGCTTTAAATTCTACATTTAATCTAATTTCTAGAGTTAAAAAATTAATTTAGTCATAGAACTTTGAAGTAGCATTTTTCAAAAAATTTTATTTCATGCACGTACAGTTCGGTTCTTTCCAATAAAAAGTGATTAGAATTTTACCCAGTGAATTTTAATAAAAAATCAATGCCTCTGTTCTGTCATCCCAGGTCCCTGATAAAGACATAAGAATCTGAAAGCAGCACTGCAGTGGATTAAACTAACGAGTGGCAACCGGGAGACTCTAGAGCAGTGGTCCTCAGCCTTTTTGGCACTAGGGACTGGTTTCATGAAAGATCATTTTTCCACTGCTTGCTGGAGTGGAGGTGTGGAAGGGATAGTTTTGGGATGAAATTGTTCCATGTCAGATCATCGAACATTAGTTTGATTCTCATAAGAGGTGTGCAGCCTAGATCCCTCACATCTGTAATTCACAATAGGGTTCGTGCTCCTGTGAGAATCTAATGCCGCTACTGATCTGACAGGAGGCAGAGCTCAGGTGGTAATGCTCACTAGCCTGCTACGCACCTCCTGTTGTGCGACCTGGCTCCTAACAGACCAAGGATCAATACCAATTCTCAGCCCAGGGGTTGGGACCCCTGCTCTCGAGGCATCTCCCTAGTAGAACTCTACCAGAAAGCACCTGGAAAATGTGCTAAGAAAAGACTGCATTGTTACACACTTGCCATTTTGTTTAATTTTTTGGCAGAAGAAAACTCTCAAGACAATAAAGGTTGTGAGAAAATTATAGATCTATGAGGGTCTGAGGCAAGACAAGAGACCCCCAAATATGACAGAATTTCCATCAGAAAAATGCTTCTAATTTGATTGTTAAGACACTGAGGACATTGTAGAAATGAACATTTGGGGCCGGGCATGGTGGCTCATGCCTGTAATCCAAGCACTTTGGGGGGCCAAGGTGGGTGGATCACCTGAGGTCAGGAGTTTGAGACCAGCCTGGGAAACATGGTGAAACTCTGTCTCTTCTATAAATACAAAAATTAGCTGGGCATGGTGGCATGCACATGTAGTCCCAGCTACTCGGGAAGCTGAGGCAGGAGAGTTGCTTGAACACAGGAGGCGGAGGTTACAGTAAGCAGAGATCGTACCACTGCACTCCAGCCTGGGTGATGGAGCGAGACTCCATCTCATCAACAACAACAACAAAAAGAAATGAACATTTGGAATCCACAGAGTTATCATAACTTTAACGTTATCTAAACCATGTAATTGTCTTACATCCAAAAACATGTTGAGCAAATTACCTACAGCTTCAGAGCATAATAATCAATGGCTGCTTTAGAACCTGCTGATATGGATTTTTTTTTACATTTTGCCACCCCACACATCCCCCTGACATCTCTTTTGGTTAATTTGTACTCTTCCAATGGAAACATTAAAATTTTTCTCTTCTGATGTGGTGGTTTCTGTTGGTTTTTGTTCTGCACTGAGATAAAATTTGATGAAACACAAGATACCAATAAAAAGAGCAGTAGTGAGTAACTTTTATGGGCTAAAATGTTCTTGACAAGGTATATCTTGTTTGTAAAAATGATCCTGAGGAACTGCTGCCTGATGTAGGGTAGGCCAAAGACATAATAATTGGAATAAGTTCTCAAATTAAATACCATAATGACTCACTCTGATTTAAATGAATCAAGATATCACAAAATGAGGGATAAGAACAAGAAAAAGAAAGGCATATATGTATCCAAATCAAGTAATTTCATTTAACTATCTTCATTGTCTCCACGTGGTAGACATTTTATTAGGTGCTTAGGATCAAGATGTACAAGATGTACAGAAAGAAGACTAGAAATATAAGCTGAGGTGTGCTTATGAAAAGCCTTTCTGTCATGCTATGGAATGGCAAATCCTCAAAGGCTTCTGAGCAAAGGAGTGAGAGCAGAGACCAATAGTGTGTATCGGAGTGACTGATGGGTTGAGGCAGTGGTGAGGAGTCTGAAGTTAGGGACTCATTTGAATAAACAGTGATGGACGATGGGGTCCTGGACTCAGCTAGTGATAGTGGACAGGTTAGGAGGAAGCATTCTAGAAATAAATAGATCATACCTCGAGGAAGATGTAGGTATTTGGAGAGTGCCAGAAGGCAAAGATAATGCAATATTCTTAGCTACTGCATCATTAACTTGGTACTGTACAGTATCAAGTTGGGCAGGGAAGCAGAGAGAAAGAAATTCATTTTGGTACATGTTAACCTTGGCATATCCCTGAAAAACTCAAATTGAAACGTGTAGTCTAGATCATGATTTCTAAACCTCATTAATGTTGGGACTGGGTAATTCTTTGTGGTACAGTTGTTCTTTGCATAGCAGGATGCTTAGTAACATCCCTGGACTCTACCTGCCAGATGCCATTAGAAACCCATCCCAACCTTAAACAAATAAGTGCCTTCAGACAATGCCAAATGTCTCCTAAGGGGAAAAATCATGCCCAGTTGATAACCACAGGTCTAGGGCTTGGAAAAGAAGGCCTGGTAGGTTTTCTTGTGCTTCACCAACAAAGCAATCGCTGAAGCACTGGCAAACAGATGGCATCATCAGGGAGAGACTGGAGCATAAAGAAAACAGGACAGTGACATTCAACAGGAAAAGCTGTCAGCTGATGATATAGAGTGAACCAAGCAGTAGGCGAAAAGCCAAGGAAGTTAGTGTCAAAGCAGCCAAGAGGAAAATGAGGTTTTAAAAAGTGGAGAGGTCAATAGGAGAAATGCAGTGAAGGACGCAGAAGTACTCAAAGGAGAGAAGTCATTGGTCTGGGAAGTTTAGGAGTGAAGGGGCAGCAGAAAACAAGCTGTGATGAGGAGTACTCAGGGAGCGGGGAAATGACCATTCTCGGCACTGTAGGGGCAGAGGAGGAAGTTCTCCTTCACTCTCTGAAGGTTCACTGGGAAATCAACTAAGTTAAAGGAGGCAGATTAAATGGAGAGAAAACAGACAAAGGTACACATGGAAGCCATTGGAAAGAAGATGCAAAGATCCAGAGATAATTGTCCATTTTTATGCTTCTGTTCAGCAAAGTCTGGACAGCCGTATAGAAAAGTGATAGGACAAAAAGGATATAACCTAATGCTAATAGACTGAGAAAGGAAACCCAGCAAGACTGTGGGTCTAGATTCTTCCTAGCCTCTCTGAGCATTTATTCCTTCCTTCATCTGGGTGTCGAGCAGGACCCTCTCTGGAATGGTGGGTGGTCTTATGACCTATGATCTCACAAGGTAGGTTAGGTAAATTTTTTATGGCCACTTTTTACAGAAAAAGGAGGATGGAAATTTAGAATAATATTTTTCAGTTTTGGACTAAGAGGATTATCTTTTCCATGGCTGGCCTTGAGGAAGAATGGAGTGAGAGACAGGAAGGAAGGAGAAGATCAGAGAAAAACCTTTGCTTCTGAGTGCTTCATTACAGGGCATTGTTTTCTAAGTTCCAACAGTATCTACTACTCATTTCTAAAATTTTAAGGTGAAGAAGTTACCCTTAATGGGCAGTGGGTTTGAGTGCAGCATGCTGTAATTCCACTTAGAATATGGCACAATTTTTGGCACAGTTTTCTAATTCTTGCCATATGAAGGCACATTTTATATAGACCCTTGTTTCCTAATTGAGAATGGCAACAAACACAGGCATCTACTTGAAAAGATGGGTTTAACTAGACCATCATTGAATACCACAGAATTATTTTAAAGGGTTGACTTTAAACTCTATATACATTTGATCTAATTTCTAGAATGATCTCACATTGAACCCCCCACAAGGCAAAACTTCTTCCTGAAAAACACTTTTAATTCCTGCCATAAAACCTCCTCTCTGGCT